CTTAACAAGGTCATTAGAAGTATCCTGGTTGGCTTGGTCATCTTTTTTTCTTTTTTTAGGCAGGGTTCCATTCTGTCACCCAGGCTGAAGTACAGTGATGCAATCCCAGTTCACTACAAAATCTTGACCTCTTGGGCTCAGTTGATTCTCCCACCTCAGCCTTTGTAGTAGCTGGGACTGCAAGCATGTACCACTATGCCTGGCTAATTTTTCTGTGTATTTTTTGTAGAGATAGGTTCTTGCTATGTTACCCAGGCTGTCTTAAATTCCTGGGCTCAAGCAATCCTCCCACCTCAGCCTCCTAAAGTGCTGGAATTACAGGGAAACACCCCACTGGATAATGCAGCTCCCGGTAAGGCAATGTGGAACAGGGCAGAGGCTCACAGCTACCTCTGCACATGAGAATCACCAAGAGAGGTTGGTTGATTGATTGATTGACTGATTGATTGTTTTAAATAACTGTTCAGGCCTCTCAGGTGGAGGCACCGTTGCTGGGTTTGTTTTATTTTATTTTGTAACTTCCCAAGAAGAATCTAACATGGGGTCCAGGCTGAAAACCACTGAGGTAGTGGAAAGAGCCCTGGCATATAAATTAAGGCCTTAGATTCTAAGATTGGTCCTAACAAATTTTAGCTGTGTTTTCCCATCAGAGTCACTTTATGTTCCAAAGTCCTACCCTACAACAACTTCCTACCTCACACAGGTTTTGGAACCTCAGATGTGTGTTAACTGTAAAGCACTTTACACATGTTCGAGCCATCTGTTTCAAATAAAATATTTACTAAGAGAGAGATTTCAGGGACTCTTAATAAATCTGAGGATCACAAACCTATGACTGCATATGCACACTTGAGTAGATTCTATAATGAGTTTAGAAAATTTTCAATTTGTCTGGATATAAGCTGAAAACTTTGAGAATTGCTGTCTTTTAGCCATCAAGTACATGACAGGAGGAACCTGTCAATCAGTACACATACGGTCCAGAAACATGAAAAAAAACACACAGACACAATATCATATTCATGCCCCAAAAGTTCTGCCTAATTCAACAGAAAAATCTGTTCTATTTAAAATAAGAATTTTACGTGTAGTTAATTAAAAAGAGCTCCAACACAAGTGTGAAGGTGTCATCTCATCCAGTCCTGTGACTTTAAAATGCAATCTATCTGGTAAGACCCTGCCATCTGTATCCCAGACCTCTGACATGAGCACTGAGAAGCTGACACCATCAACCTATCTGCTCGTTATCTCATATCCCACAGGCACCCCACAATTAACATAGACAAAATACAAATCTCAATTTTCTTCTCCCTTCCCTCCATCTTAATGCGGCATTCTTCTTCTCATCACTCAGGACTCAACCCAAATGCCATCTCTTCAAAGAAGGCTTGCTGTCCACCCTGGCTTTAACATCTCCAGAACAAATCACACCCTACAGTGCTGTTTCTTTAATTGTATCTTTTTCATAGGAAGTCATCAGTAAGGAATTTTCCTATGTGTGTATAAGTTTACTGTCTCCACCTGCCCACTAAGACATAAGCTCCATGGGGCAGGAAGCAGGGGGTGTAAGACTGTCTTGTTCTATCTTGTTCATTGCTGTGGCCCCAACACATCAAACATTATCTGATACAAAGTCAATCCTCAGTAAATGTTAGTCAGCTAAGTATGTTAGCTAGGTATGTGTCCAAATTGAAGCATATGAAAGGAGGGGAAGTTCAAGAAAAATAAAGACCCTGGAGAAACCGCCAAGCCCTACTTGCTACCCTCTGCTCCGACTCTTCATTTGCTGGTCTCCTTGGTCCATTCTGCTGGCTCCCATTCAGAATCTCTCTTGCCCCTTTGGACTAAAACTCCTTTGGTCAGCCAGCGTGCCTTTATAATTTGGTTTCTCCTGAAGAAACACTCAGATTGAACCCATGGCCATATACAATCAGTAAATGAGCTATACTCCACTTTTATGAGGACCTGGTTTTCAGCATACCTTTTGGGCCAGGATATCAGTACACCCAGATCTCCTGACCCAAGACAACAGGCAGTGCTCCAAATTCCCTGAACCACATAGTTCCTGGGGTCTGTCACTTGTCCCTGGTCCTGGCACAATGGCCAAAAATAATGGCTACATTCCATTCCAAGCTTTCCTTATCTGGGCATCATCTTCCAATACAGGTGCTTCTTATACAATTTGAGCTTTTTGTGTATAAAAGACAACACTTAAGCACCACATGCCCCTTTGGGAGGGGGCATTTTCCAACTGATCTGTCCGGGAATATAACTTTGATAGAGAAAGATGGAGGTCTGGGGTCCTTAGATACTATAACTAGTTCTGGCTCCTCATCACAGCCAGGAAAATGGGAGAACTTTTGCTAAAGGCCACTCACACCACCCACTGATACCCCCAGAGAGGTCAAGACAACATCCATGGAAGTGAATCTGTAGAACAGAAGAGACAAACACTCACTCAAAGCATCTGCTGCATTCTGCACCCTGGTGCTTGACCATGGAAAAGGTCACAGAGGAGTTTTTAGTATTTGAGTTTCTACCACTAGACTGAAGTGACAATAGACTCAGGGACAACTATTATGCATTCACAGACCTATAGGCTGATTTCTGACTCTAGCCAAGGCTATCCAGCTGCTCTCCAGTGGAGAAAGCAGAGATGGGCCCACATTCTATACTGCGCGAGAGAGACTTTGGCAAGAGGCTGTTGTGTCAACTGCTCATCTTTCCCCTTGCCCTTGGCCTCTACTGCTAGGGTCTCCTGGGAACCTACCCCCAGTTTTGAAAAGTACATTTCTGTGTCTAACAGTACTTCTATTGCCCATGTGAGGTCTAGCCTCCACAACCATGCCTGTGCCTGAGATCCTGGACAAATGCTATTACGGAAGAAGATGTGAAGATAAAGCAGCTATGGCACCACCTCTACAGGGAGACGAATTGCTCTAAATCTCACTCCCTGGCTTCTGTCATAGCAACTAGGGCTTCTCACTCCACCACTTCACAAACGCTCACGTCCGGCAGAGAGGCACTTTGTATTGTAGATTACATTGTCATTGCACCCCTCTGTAATCAATGGTGTTCACCTCATCTTTCACAGGTCAACCTTATCAACCTTCAGTACAAGCCTCCGATTGAACTCCCATTATCTCAAACTCAAATGTATTTAAAACAGATTCATCTTCTCTTTATTATAAATGGGACCACCATTCTTTCAGTCACACAAAACTGATTCCACAGTCATCTTTGATTCATTCCTTTCTTCAGTATCCAGCAAATCTTGAAGTCCTTCAAATACCTTATCCTTGTAGTCAAAATCCAACTACTCCCACCTCCTCCATAATTCACTTTATTAATTATCCTTTCTCTCTCCCAGATCATATGTAAATCTTTTTCTCTACTAGTTCTTTCCCTTTGCTTATAAATAGGCCCAAATACCACCCCCACAAGCTCTTCTCTAGTCCATTCCCCATCCCCACTAGCCTGAGGCATCAATTCATGCCTCGAGGGCACTTCATCCTGTTTCATTGGTAAGCACAGCATACCATCACTACTTACTTGTCAGACTGGCCACTATTGGGGGCTCTCTGAAGTGGAGTTCAGCTTTTTCAGCTTTAAATCTTCACAGTGTAATAAATGTCAATAAATGTTTACTAAATGAATAAATTCTCCCTCTAATCACTTTCTAATTCATCCTTTCTACTGTCTAATAACCACCTCTGTCTACACTCATTGTCCTTATTCTGTCCCCCCTCAGCTCATGCTAGACTTTCAAAAGGTCTTTTTAATTTGGCTTAAGTTTTTATCACCTCCAATTCATCAACTATGTCCAGTATATCCTTTCTAAAACAGTAATTTCAAACTATCAATTGCAGGTATTAAGAAATAGATATTAAAACCAATATAAAACACAAAAAATAAGCTAACAAAAAAAACCTCAAATGGTTTGCCATTGCTTATGGCAATCTAAGTGGGTCAATCATTAGTTATTGGTAGATCTGAATGACCAACTGGTCAGAATTTCATTTCACAGTCTTCCAGGATTATTCACCTGAGGAGAACTTAGCCAGCAGCAATGCACTGTCCCCCACTCTGCTCAGGGACTCCCATCTCAGGAATAAGCATCAGTAGGGATGTTGCATTTACATAGGTTTACATACACACACACACACACACACACACACACACACACACACACACGCCACAAAGGCTTAACAGTGTGAGTCAAAATTAACCCCACTGTAACATTTGCAAGCCGTATCTCTTAGAAAATGATTGGAACCTTAGAGGAAGTGATAAATGCCTCAAGATAATTAGAGGCTGAGCATGGTAGTGGCTCATGCCTGTAATCCTAGCACTTTGGGAGGCCGAGGTGGGCAAATCGCTTGAAGACAGGAGCTCAAGACCAGCCTGGCCAACATGGTGAAACCACGTCTCTACAAAAAAAAAAAAAATTAGGCCTGGTGGCATACATCTGTAATCCCAGATACTTGAGAGGCTGAGGCATGAGAATCACTTGAACCTGGGAAAAGGAGGTTGCAATCAGCCAAGAGTGTGCCACTGCCCTCCAGACTGGGTGACAGAGTGAGACAATGTCTCAAAAACAAAGCAAAAAGACAATTAGAAACCTTGCTCCATAAAATATGCAACTGAAACTCTTCAGGTGGAATTTCTAGGCCCTCTATGAGCCAGCCCCAACCTACCTGAACAGGATTTTCTTTCACACGTCTTACATGCATAACTTCTGCCTAGTCTCTTCATTATACCCCTTCCCTCCACATAGTCCATGTACTTTCCTGCCTCTATCTCTTTCTAATACTGCTTCTCCAGATCTTACTTGCTGTAAATATCTCTCCCATCTTGAAGCATTTTCCAACAACTCAGTGATCTCTACTTTCCTGTAACTCCCCTGGTACTTACAGTCTGTATCATTTATTTAGCATTTACCACAACTTCTGAAATAGAAGACCTCAGCCAAAATCTCCCAGTAGTAGTAAAATACTTCTATTACCAGAAAGAGGTCCTGATCCAGATAACAAGAGAGGGTTCTTGATCTCACGCAAGAAAGAATTCAGGGCGAGTCCACAGAGTAAAGTGGAAGCAAGTTTTATTTAAAAAGTAAAGGAATAAAAGAATGGCTACTCCATAGACAGAGCAGCCCCAAGGGCTGCCAATTACCCCTTTTATGGTTATTTCTTGATTATGTGCTAAAAAACAGGTGGATTATTCATCTCTCCCCTTTTTAGGGTAAACGTCCTATATGGAAGTTACAATGCATTGCCATGGCATTTGTAAACTGTCACATTGCTGGTGGGAGCGTAGCAGTGAGGATCACCAGAGGTCATTCCCATTGCCATCTTGGTTTTGTTGGGTTTTAGCCAACTTCTTTACTGCATACTATTTCATCAACAAGGTCTTTATGACCTGTATATTGTGCTGAACTCCTATCATATCCTGTGATTTAGAATGCCTAACTATCTGGGAATGCAGCCCCATTAAGTCTGAGCCTTATTTTACCCAGCCCTTACCCCAGATGGAATTGCTCTGGTGCAAATGTCTCTGACATCTGCAGTCATATCATGAACACTGATGACCAACTGTAACATGAGAAGTTAATTCTAAGGCTAAAAGTACTTGGAAGGAAGAGAGAATTGAATGCGTGATGGGTGTAGAAATAAAGGTGGGGGGAAAAAAAAAACAGAATGAGAGCTTTCATAAAAATGCAGAATTGATTCCAGTACTAAACTTGCCTCTGAATCCCTGAATAAGTCACCCTCCCTCCCAGGAAGACTCAGATCCAGTGAAAACATGAAGAGAAATAATAAAGCCATTGTAGTGTTCAAGAACTATGATAACTTCCTGAAAAGTGTAAACAGTAATGTTACCTACACAAGGCCTTGGATCAGAAATGGTTAAATGTGTGTCTGCTGGGGTGGAAGAGAGTTGCCAGTAAATGATTATTCAATTTGATCACTAAATTTTTAAATGTTTTTAAATGAATACATTTAATTAAAAAGTAAAATATAAATAAAGCGTCTGTAACTCACAAAAAACATCTGACTTTTGTTTCTTGGGGAGGTCAGAGCTGAGTTGTAGATGGAAGAGTTACCCACTGAGTTATAGTCCCACTGATGGCTTGGTGGTTAGGAATCTTTACACACTCCACAATTCAACAGTGAGGCAGGTCCAGGGAAAACATGGGAAGGGTCATCAGGGCTGAGAGACTGATAATCTCCTCCTACATCTATGCTTCTTTTGTGTTACAGGCATTACGTCTCTTCATAAATCCCGAGTCTTTCACGAGTGTCAGACCAGTGATACAGTTTTGGTCCCAAGTAACCATGTGTCAGTAGTCAGAAGGTAGCTTTGTATGTTATCATTATGCTCACAAATACACAAACTCAAACACACAAATACATACACTATACTTCATGGACCATGTGATACATATTATTTCACATTTTAACATCTCTGAAGTTGGGGGGGTCTGATAAGTGATGATACATTAGAACCTATGAAATATGGTGCATTTCTTTTAAGCAACTGTAACATCTTGAAGATGGAAACCAAAACTGATGTTCAAATACTGACTGAAAGGAACAGTAGTAATCTAATCCAATCTCCTTCATTATACAAGTGAAACACACACGTACACAAATACACATGTGTACAGAGGCAGAAGTAAAACCAAACCTGAAAGTCAAATTCCCTGATTCCCAGTCACTGCTCTTGTGTTCTATCAGCACCTAAGCAAAATACTAACGAACTGACCTACTGTTATCTGTAAGCAACAGGTAATCAAAGAAGAATTTGAGATGAAGAAACATGAAGAAAACAATTCAACATACTATAAACACTGTAAGATCAGGAACAATGTCCATTTTGCTCACTGTGATATTCTGAGTGCCCAACACAGTGCTTTGCAGATAGCAGGCATTTTAAAAATGAATGTTCTGAGATAAAAAATCTGGCTGTTGTGTTTAAGATAAAGGATGGCAGTTAGCAGGTGGTAGCTGTAGCGGACCATTTCAGTAGACCATCTCATTAAAACTTCTAGGGATGTCTGACTCTTCATATCTAGGCTCTTCACAGACCAAATGAATTAGAATTTCTGGGGCTAAAACTCAGGAATCTGGACCTTTAACAAGATTCCAGGTGATTCTCATGGCTATTAAAGCTTGAAACCCAGAATATATTAGATAATAACCCCCACTGCAGGCAACAGAAAGGAAGAAACTAATGTCATAATATTTAAATCTAAAGAACATAGGGCTTTAGAGAAAGAAGAGACAAAACCAAGATGATAAGAAAAAACCAGGAGAAAGATACTTAAAAACGAATATAAGTATTTAAATATAAATGTACAAACATTAAAGGATCAGGAACTCTGAGGAGCCCTGGGATAAGGGATTAATTCCATTGGTGTGCAAGAGGCCAGGGGTACCATATGAGACATCATTAGGATAATTAAATAATTAACACACATAGGATTAAAATTCCTCTTGAGGAAAATGATAATGAACAAGAAACACCTAATGTAGTTTCACAAATGACTCTTCAAATATCTACAGACAAAGACAGATCTGAACTAAAGAAGGAGAAAAGTGAAAAAGTATCTTGTTACAGTCACTAAAACTTACAGAAAAGAGTCAGAGATAGAATATTAATTCATGCTACTCAAATAAGTCAGACAGGAGAAGATGAGCTTTTAAAATTACCAAGAGATGGGCAAAGACTAGGAAGAGAAAAATGCTGCTAAAAATGGAGTGGGGTTTGGAATTAATGAAGACTAAACTAGCTAAGAAACTGAACTAATTCTTTTTAATTTGTCTTTGACAAGAAAAATGAAGAAGACATATTTGTATAATTAGAGAGAATGAAGACTTTGCAAAAATAGCGACTGACAAAAAGCAGATGGGGAACACTTGACAATACTGAACTCATACCAATCAGCAGGCCTGGATGACGGGAAGCAGAGGATCTTAAGGGAATTCATGCACACACTTGTGGAGTCATTTACAGTTATTACGGAAACATCACAGAAAAATGGGGAAATAAAAGATCTGAAGTGGAAAAAAACATTAGGTAATGAAATATCTTATCGATCTTAAAATGGTCACAAAGAAAGATTATAGAAAATTTTAGTGGTGAAAACAGTAGCACTGTTTTCCCATCCAGCTCCATGAGGTCAGAGGCAGTCTTCTTCGCTTTCCAGCATTAGTCTGGAGTTTAGAGCAAATAGTATAATCGAAAATGGGAAAAGACCGTGAGCTAGAAAATGAATGCCAGCAAACTTTTCTATTTCTTCTGAGCAGAAAATTGTACCACAGGGAACTTATAGTCCTTTTTTTCTCTCATAAATAACAGCAAAAGGTAAAACACTTAAACATCTGATGGATATTTAAATCATAAGCCATAATCAGAATAAAAATCTAAAAACTCTAGTAACACAAATAGAGTAAATTTGAGAAACTATAAAAGCAGGAAAAAAAAATAGAACACAAACCATTAATTTGGGCAACTATTATCAGTACTTCTTTAAAAAGAAACGCTCTAACACATTTGGATAACACGCAAAGTTTAAAAAAAAATAAAAAATAAAGAAAAATTTTGAAATGAGCCTTTACTATGACCATTATATATCTAATGAATCTTGGCAGTTCCTCACATCCTCACACACTCCAACACAAACCCATCCACAGTCACTCAGATGTATTTTTTTATCAATTCATCCTCAATTTATAGACAGGGCAGATGGGCAAATTTATATAAAAGCATATGCCTCCAGGAAACTGACACTGAACTCATGGGAAAAAATCGTACGTTACTCTAAAGTCATTATAAACGTAAGCACAATACAAGAAATGCATTTCCTACAAGGTAAAATAAAGGGGGAGGATGTGAAAATTTCATTTTTGGATATGTTTTTTGCATAGAGCACAATGCATTCCATATAGTGCATATTAATAACCACACACTGATTAAATCAAATTGAAAGCCACTGGCTCATATATAAGAAGAGTATATGATGATACTTAAAAAGGCTGATTATTTATTTCATAGGTTGCTCCTATTTCTTTGATCAGGTCCCCAAAACTGAACTCTATGGTTGTAGGCTTTAGTAAAGAAGTATTATGCCAGCTGAATATTCCATAAGATATGAATAATACTAGGGTTTTTGTTTTTTTTTCTTCAACACTACACTGCTTTCACTCAGGGAAAGAGGGACAAAGAAGAGAAAAAGAAAAGGCTCTCATTACTGGAAAGGAAGTTAGTTTCATCATTTTTTAGTCTTGATGCCAAATGAAGAGGAAAGGAGAGAAAGCTAACTCAAAAAGAATATCATTTATATGAGTAATGATAGATCTGACCTAAAGAGGACAGTCAAATTCTAAATCTTCTCAGTCAGAGGATACGGCTCAGGGCGCATAGGAGGGCAAGCACAGACACAGCAGCTGAAAAAGTCAGAAGGCAGTACAAGGAAGGCCCACCCCACTCTGGGTTTCATACAATCCATATTGTTAGTTTGTATGGATGCCAAGAAAAACGTCTTTCAAAAACAACCAGGTCCTGATGCAAGAGCACCAATTTCTTGAAATGAGTAGCAAGAGGAAATTCTATCTACTTAAAAAAAAAAAAAAAAAAAAGAGATAATTCAAATTCTTTCACATGCCCTTTCTTACATTGCTCTAAAGAATAAAGGACAAATAAGAACAAATTACAAAGGAAAAAAAAATCTAAACAAATATTTAATCACAAGGGAAAAAAAACCTACTTGCTTCAGTATCAAAAGAAGTATATTTATTCATTCACTTATCCATTTAGCACAATCCAGGTGGGATAATAAACAGCAAAAGCTTTACCCCCAACCTAGATACTTATAGAAATTAACAGATTACTAGATAATGGAGCATTTTTTCCAGAAACGGATCTTCTTGGAATAGGTAAAACTTAAGTAACAAAAATACAGATGGATAGGACTGGCAGAGAGAATTCTACAATAAAGGTGTTTCAGGTATCATCTGATTGCCATTATTAGCAGAGTAATACCTAATTTACCTGGCAGCCTGGACCACTAAGAATAGCAGAAACTAAAGAAGAGAAAATTAAGAAAAAAGGGACACTTCCAGGGGCAAAATTTTCTTATGCTACACAATCCATAGCCGGGAATTCATGTGCATGATGTCAGAGAGTGTTCTCTGGTCACTTACTCTACACACAATTCTAACCACCTTGATTCTCTGCCTTTCCAGCTTATACCACAATAGCTGAGGAACTTAGCAAGAGGAGCTTGTCTGAAACAGACACAATAAACAGCTAGACATGATAATCTACCCCCAAAAAGCAAGGGAAAAAAAAGACAGATGGCATGAAGAGCAGACAAGTAAGTTTTTTTTTGTTGTTTTTGTTTTTTTAATGGAAGTCTGGGGCTGGTTCAGCACAGTGGAACACTGTCCATGCCTTCACCTGTGATAAGATGACCTCTGACATATCACAATAAATTCAATGAAGGTTAATGTGCAAAAGTGCAACCAAAGAATCCATTAGCCAGGTTCAAAATGACAGCCCTTCAGTCACCAAAAAAAAGTCTGAATGTGCTCAGTATATTGTGACAAAACGGCCAAATCCGAAAAATGTATTTTATAAAATTTCCATTAAAGATGTTAAAATACAACCTTCAATGCTTAAAGGGAAGAGATTTTATTTTCTGGAAAATTAGGTAACACTGAAAATCAGATTCCTAGATGGTGCTAAATAAATTGGGCATCACTAGTCTTCTTTTTAAAGAAAATATCACGCAATAGTTAGGAGTTTACTTATAATAAAGCAGTCAGTCTCTATCAGAACAAAGATAGCCACTGAAGACAAAAAACAAGAAGGATAAAGCTTTAATTACAAAAACAAAGAGATATATGGATTTATTTATTATGACAGCACAATCCTGAGGTCTGTGTTAAAGGCACCTCATTTCAGTCCTGGCACACAAGCTTTAAAAAATGCTTAAACAAGCTCAAAGTATCTTTGAAGCAACATCAATGGTATATGGTACTTGGTGTCAGATTTTTTCTGTACAAAATTAAAAGTTAATAAATGTTCCAGGCAGTTCCTCTACATTTCTCAATCCACCCCCACCATAAACTCTGGGAAATAAAAGCAGCCCCTACCATTACTTTACAGTCTAGAGGGTTTGCAAAATGACTTGGAGGGGGAGCTTTGAAGTTTACAGTAATAAAAAGAGAAATATGCCATGAATGCCAGAGGGGGGAGCTCAGAGCAAAGGGAAAGATCATGTTTATAACGGGCAAAAAAGGAAATTCTGAAAACCTTCTGAGTTTTTACATAATATCCTTTTTTCTCTTTTTTCAGTGTTCTCTTTTGAAGAATGGGTTCTAATACCCTTTGAAATAAACAACCTTCTTTCCCCCTCACCCTCACCCCACATAGAGAGAAAATAAAAGTACTGCTGAGGGTAACCAGTTTAAACAATGTGCAGGTTTCTGAAACCTCTGCTTTTGGGAAGTCTCATGCACACAAGCCTCCTGTCTCTAATCAGTTTTGTTTGCAAATGAACCTACACAGTAGGATTGGCATCTAATGATGCTGAAGGCACGGGAAAGGAATTAGCCCAAGACAATCATTATTTTAAAGAGGTGCTTGGCTTCCTCCAGATTCCTTTTATATGTTTACTTCTTAAGACAAAATGGAATTTTAATAGGCTCTTTCCATAATTAAAGACGCTATCTTTGTGTATTCACTGCCCTTTGTACCACTAAAGACATACAACTAGCTTATCCAAAAAAAAAGAGCCACAGTCCATTTATATTTTCCTAGAAACAACTTCCAAGTACAGACAGGTTTATGGAGATAGAGATAGACAGGGTCAACCAGCACTCTTCTTCCCATCTGAATTGTAAGCATTTCTTTTAACTACATTTTCAATCCTGAACAGTTCTGCCAGCGACCAGAGACAAAATTAGCATCAAAATTGGTGCCATTGAACAACGAAGTTCTTGATGCTAAATGGAAAGCTACAGCTCCCAAAACAGTGCCCAAAGAAAGTCTTTAAAAGAAATGAGTATCCTTTTGTATTTGTTGGCTACTTCAACAACACTGAGTAACAAACCACCTCAAAACGCAGCATACAACCAGTGTATTTTCCTTGCTCACATACACACTCGTTATCTAGGACTTGGCCGTAGGCTGGACTACACTGGGCTTGGTATCAAGCTGCAGATCAGGTCCAGAGCCAGTGCTTGAATTAGCAGCTACTAGAAGCATGTTCTTCTCATGGAAAACAATAGAAGTGCAAAGACCAAGTCCAATTGCACAAGCATATTTCAAGCCTTTGCTAGAGGCATATTTGCTAACATTCAGTTGGTCACAGCAAGTCACATGACCAAGCCCAATAGCAATGGGATGAGAAAACACACTGCTCTTATCAGTTGGGTGGGGGGCTGGTGGGGGTGGATGCGTAAGGGAATGAATATTTGCTGAACAATAATCCAATCTACCACAATCTTCCATTCAGGCTGCTAGAGGTTATCTGTTTACCACATCTGGTATCCTGCTGCTTACGGAATAACAAGAGCTCATCATCTAAGTAAATAAATCGTAGTTTTATTTAAGTCTGCCATTTATAGTACCATTAGAAGATAAGAATTAAGCAGAAAAAACTGTAAAATTGGTATTATATTGTATAAATGGACATGATTAGGAGTTTCATTGATGTCTCAGAAATCTGTTGACAAAGGATAATACATTACAGCTATAGAGTGCTACTTAATGTACTCTAGTGTTTCAAGTCCATGTACTTGCTAAGCTGTCTACCTTACATCAGATCAGCATCGACAATATTTTATGCAGTGTTAGTTTTGCATAGAAATAGCCCGCTAGACAGCAGAATTACAAAGAAAAAAGAAAGCAGGAAAGATCATGCCAAGGTTTCCGACTTGGATAATGCAGTATGCAATAGTAGTGGCATTAGCAGAAACTGAAAAAGAGTAGAAAGCACTTGACAAACAGATTTAGAGCAGCTATTTATGAAGCTTTACAGTGAACAACATTTTAAGATAACTTTAAAAGGCTCTATCTACATACATTTAAAAGTTAACTTGACAACCACATATCAGTTAAATCCTACTGGAAACAAGATATGAGATGGCAATATAAAGGGGGGAGAGGAATATGTATGTAATACTTATATATCTGTTTACCAAATTTTATTAAGAAGGTCCAATGAACCCCAGGTTCATATTTCACTATCAGCTATTAAATGCCTACTACGTGTCCCATACATTAGCTTACCAAATACAAAGCTATGTTGTAAGGTAGGGATTATTATTATTATTATTCACATTTTACAAATGAGTAAAGTGAGCCTTGATAAAGTTAAGATTATATAACTAATTAGATGTAAAGCCAAAATTTGAACACGAATCTTCCACATAAAAGCATGTTTTGTCTTTTCTTTCCTGACTATCCCATGCTAACTCTCTAAAAATGCCTTTTTTACCTGAACCAAAAGGATTATTTTATATTCTCCCATTCTCAACTCCCAACACTAAAGGGATAGAGTAAACCAGAAACATAATTATGATCATAATAGACTTATGATCCTCCCTAGGATATGTCTCACAGATACAACAAAATTCAGGAATGTTTTAAACATGTTAAATACCAGGTATCAATCAGTAGGTCAAAAGTTACAAAATGGGGGAAATTTTACTACTTTCAAGTAGTATCTTAATAGTCTGCTTCCTGGAATAGGTTTTAACTAAAGTAATTGATCACACTGTTTCCCATAAAGCCTTATAAAATAAAGTCTTTGGCAAAAGGAAGTGAAATACATGCTCTCCACATTCAAAGGCTCTAGATGTCTACCTGCAGTCTACAGCTTTTGCACAATGATTCTCAACTTCATTACGGGCCCAGTCTATAAACCTATCCCTCATGGCACACAACTCTACTTAACATGCAAATGTGGGTCTAAGAACAATGCCTCAGATACAGGGTAATCTATGCTTACGTAAACTATGCTACATTTAATTTACACATATATTACTCTGGAAGAGCAGACTAAGAAGGAAAGACTGATAAAATGGATTCTTCCATCCCTTCCCAAAGGGTGATTAGAAAAGAATATTAGTAGATAGCAAACCCGCACTAACCTGTCTCACTTTCAGATAATTAGTTGTGAATTTTTTAAGGCAAGGGACTCACATGGGAGAGTACAAATTTATTGCCTTCCACAATCTAATAATCTTGGCAGCAATGAAAGTTATCTATTTATTGATAGGCAACTGTAATTTATCTTCCCTGAGTAAAATACAGTTATTTAAATTTTTTTTTCTTGTTATGAATGCTGGCCTCAGCAGTAAACATGTAAATGACTTCACAAGAACAAAAACACCCATTAAATGTCAATAAACTCCGAAAGCACAGCTATAAAACTCTCAGAAAATTCTGTATCAGGTCAGCAATGGACCACTAAGTTCAGGAAGAACAGTGAATTCAACATGACTGTGACGGCAAGAATTTGGCAAGGAAATCAGAACCGTAATTCTAGTCCTTGTTCTGTCATTAAATCCCTTAGTGATCTTTAGAAAGTTACCTGACATCTGGGCATCATTTTTTTTTCCATTATAAAACATAGGGGTTTGATTAGATTCATTTATTCAGTAAAATTTGCTGAGCATCTAGTATTTACAGTGCTGACACAGGTGGATTGTACACAGAAGTGAACAAAATGGACAAGGTGCCTGACCTCAGGGGTTTTCCATTCCAGTAGAAAGACAGATTCATTAAAACCTCTCAAGCTCTACAATTTTATGGTCTTTCAAAGTATCAGACAATAACTCATTCCAGTATACATGATGTCCAAAAGGCAAGATAGAAAGGGTAAATCTATTTTTTGTTAGGATATCAGTTACATTTCAAATAATATGCCCAATATGTGTGGTGGAATATAAAATAGTACAGCCAATTTGGAAAACAGTTTGGCAGTTTCTCAAAAAATTAAACGCAGAGTTACTATATGACCCAACAATTCCATTCCTAGGTATAGTAAAACTGTAAACAAATATTCACATAAATACTTGCATACAAATTTTTATAGCAGCAGCCGTATTCATTACAGCCAAAATGTGGAATCAACCAGATGTCCACCAACTGATGAATGGATAAAAAAAATGTCCACATAACATAATAATAATAAGGACAGGAGGCAAGGAAATTTCAGATAAATGAAGGCAGTTCCCCAGCAAAGGCCCCACCCTCAAGCCTGGAAACCAAGGCCCTAAATGAGAAGAGTTATCCCTGTTTTCTCACGCAAATGTTGCTTTTTCCAAAACCACCCTGGCCCACCATGTCCCATATCCTATACCCATAAAAACCCCAAACACCACTAGCAGAAGAACAGAGCAGCACAGCAGGGGAGAGAAGAAAAGAAACATCTGAATGTTGAGAGGAGCTCGGCTGGGAGCGGTCGGAGATGAGGGAAGATCCTCTTCCCACTCCATCTCCTTTCCAGCTCCCCATCTCGCTTACAGCCACTTCCATCACTCAATAAAATCTCCACATCCCTCAAGTCCATGTAACCTGATTCTTCTGGAATGCTGGGCAGGAACTGTTACCTAGAGGGCAGGGTGTAAAGGCTGTCACCCTGACTCTCCACTGAGTTGGTTAACACTTAGCTGTCCACGGATGACAACTGCTAAAAGAGCATTAATTGTACCAAACCCCTAGATGCTAATGTGGGGCAGGAGCCCAAAAGCACTTGCCCCAGCCCTGGCACCAACTCATCTGCATGCTCCCACTCCTGTAAGAGGTTTGAGTGCAGCTACAGCCCAGTAAGTGAGCCACACCCCTGTCACAAGTCCCATGAGGGGGTCAAGGGAATTCTTGCATCTCATTATTAAGCAATAAAAAGAAATCAGGTACTGCCATGCTGTAACACGGATGTCCAGAATAGACAAATCTACAGAGACAGAAAATAGACTGGTGACTGCCAAAGGCTGAAGAGAAGCAGGAATGGGGGTGACTGGTAATGGTGAGTGATTGCTAATGGCCAGTTTTCTTTCTGGAGTGACAAATATGTTCTGGAATTAGACAGTGGTGATAGTTTGACAACCTTGTGAATATACTAAAAACTGCTAAGTTATATTATTTAAAATGGTGAATTTTATTGTATGTGAATTGTATCTCGATGTTTTTAATTTTAAAAAATTTAAACTTACGGAAAAAATTTACGTCCTAATATGTAACAGAATCAATTATCTTAGCAAAGTTAGAAAACAGCATATTAAAATAGAGAGCAGATGAATTGCTAGTGAAATGTTTAAAAGAATGTTCAGAATATGATTTCAAAGCAGTCTTATACTTGGTTTATTATTTTAGATCCAAAATAAACATCATTAAAATGGTATCAAACAAAACATGAAAAGTCATGTTTCCATCAATTCTTTCTCTAATATTCTAAGACTTCATTGTTTCAGTGCCCTTTCACTTACTAAATCAATATCCTCGCTACTTCTCCTTCATCAGTGTTCTCCCAACCCATGCTGTTAATCACTTCAATCCCTATTCTCAAGCCATGCCTCTCTTGCTTAATACTTTCCCTGCAACTTCAGTCCCTCCAAGGCATCAATATTTCCAAAACCCCCTTTCCAAAACTTTTGACTCATTATGATTAGAATTTTCTCATCTACACATTTGTATAAATTCATAAGGTAACTTTTGATCCAGGAAAAAGGGGAAAAGAAAACACACACACACAAAAATAAGAAAAATGATGATACTGCAAGCGAATTTTACCAAAATTAACTTTAATGAGTCCTGGTATACCCTGGCTCAAAATTTATCTACAATAAGCACCAATAGATGTTTGTGGTGTAAAAGCAAAAAAGTAGCATACCAGAAAATACACTAATGTAAAATATAACTGAAGGAACCCGAATACTATACTAAATAAGTCTTCAAGCCACAACTATTGAATCTGTTTCCTGATTTATAAATTCTACAACAGCAAATTTCTAAGCACTGAGTTTGTGCATAACTAACCAAAGCTGGATAAGCTCCAAGGATTACAATAAAATAAAAATAGGACAGGACAGGAGAGGAGGAGAGAGGAGAAGGAGAAAGGAGAGAGGAGAGAGAGGAGAAGATTAGCACAGAGTGATTATCATTTGTTCTGACTTGCTTCTTCCTGATCACTCTAAGGCATGTGTTCCACTTGGTGGCAAATGCTCATGGGTACTGTCAATAGAGAACAAAGTCAAAGGTGAAATGTTAGCAATTCTCTGATTCAGAAGTCCAAGGGAAAAGAAATCCCTAAAGCTCAGTGTGGTTGGCCTTACCCAGAAATTTAACTGTAGCTGAGAAATTTATATTCAACTACACAAGACAACAGGAAGGATGGCTGCTCCTCACATCAGACCAAGTGAATAAAATTGAAAAATTTTAAATCAGGACATTCTCTATGCTGAGGTTTAATAATCCGTAGACATACAAATCACTGTCAAGTGTGATCCAGCAATTTTGAGAGCTGCATTTTTAAGCTTCCATTAGGCTGGAGCACTTTTACCATGATCCTATCAGTCATAAGTTGAGAAGTTAAAAACCCTATTTCTCAAACTCTTGAAAGCATCACAGACTGAAAGCAAATAATTTGCAAACACAAGGTAGTTATGTCTCTCATCTTTTTCTATAATAAGGAAATTGATTCTCTCCTCAAAATCTACCAATTGATTTTTCTCCTTCTGTTAATCAGATTACTAAAATGCAGTATAATTTTTCTACATGGGAACCTCAAACTGAAAGGAAGAACAATGGAACTCTCAAGGTGTGTGTGGTACCACCCCCTCACCCATTGGAAATACAGTAAGAAAGTATTTGGCCACCAGCTTCCCAAACTCACATCTCTACCATGGCAATTGATGGAGAAAACCGGCAAATAGAGTCCTTGCAAAAGCAAGATGTTCATTTATAGAATACAGAATTTGGTGGTTCAATCTGCCTGTGACAACCCCATTTCTCATCTCCCTGCACCCCAATACACTTATAGATGGCAAAAACGAGGTTGGAGAGTAGCTGATAAAAATTAATCCAAGATACAAATTGCTCTGATTTCCTTTCTTACTGGATGTTAAAATTCCTGCTTTACCAAAAATTAAAACAGGGTCCATTTCCATTTTACTTCCTGTTTTGTGAACAACAGATCATGGTGTCTCTGGCATTCCATAAGATAATTCAAGATTGTCATGTCAAAATGTCAGGATTGTTGATGAAAATGCACAGAGGTGGTATCAATGCCTGAGACTTAGCATATAGACAGCAAACAAATAAAATAGTAACCTAGTAGAGCTGTGTATCACCCTAGTAATAAAGGCTTGAAGTGGAAAAAGCCCAGCCTACATTCCAACTAAAGATGTTCTGTCGCTTATGAGGCGCCTGACACACAATCCAAGTTAATGAACTGTAAAAATTGATTATGTTGGAAAAAAAAATAACTCATCAAGTCACCTTTGATATCTCTCTCTCACACACACACACACACACACACACACACACACACACACGCGCGCGCGCACGCAAGGATCAAGAGAATTACATTGGATGCTAAGGTTCCTTTACAGCATATGGAGCACTAGGCATAGTTTAGAGCCATCTTCTCAACGTGAATCCAATTACTCATTAGTGAAAAAGACAGAGACCATGGGTCACACTGTCAATATAAACTGCTCAATTCCCAGTTTCTCCTTAAGAGAGGAAATGTCTGAAGCTCAGCAAGAAGCAGACATCGAAAGATGTTCATGAAAAAGATCAACAGAAAGTCAACTGGGCTTGAACTATTGAATGTTAACATTCAATAATAAGAACCTCTGTATTATATAATGATGTTGGTGATGACAACCATTTGTTTACAGCAGAAAGAACTCACATATATTAATAGTACTTTCTTCACCATGTATTTAAAAATACTGTCTTTAAAATTGCCCTTGGCAAAGCAAAGATAGCAAGACATGGTAATAGCTTTCACAATTTCAATAAAGTGTTTCTAACAGAAAGGCAAAAGGAACCAATATTTATTATTTTCCACAGGAAAATTAGGGGAAAATTGAGCCATGTAAATAAATTTGCCATAAACATCCAAACAGATACTATTATTATCCCACAGTTCATGAGCAACAGTTATTTGCATGTAATTAATTTGCTTATTTCTGGGGCCTCAGACAATATAATATGCTTATCAGCTTGGTTTCCAAACAACAAGTGTTTAACTCTTCCTTTTATATTTGTAAGAAAATATTTACTTGCTCTTTCCTTGACAGATTCAGAGCCAGCTGCAGGCATTAGAGACAGAGCTGCTTCTGGGGCAATCACAGACATATAACCCCCAACTGGGGCATGATGTTACCAACCTTAAGATGAACATAGAATAGCCAAGGCTGAATTATCTAACACCAAAAACATCATTACCAGAAACAGAGAAAAAATCTATGGGAAAGAGGTACTGACTGTCTCCTTCCTGTAGATGAAAAGAATCAAACTCTGTAAAATATTTGATGAGAGATATTCCAAGCCAAATATTAGTGGCCCTGACTCGTACCACAGCCCTCAGGAGATCCTGAGAACATGTGCCCAAGGTAGTTGGGGTGCTGTTTGGTTTTATACATTTCAGGGAGGCATGTCAAATACATTTAAGAAATGTAACGATTTGGTCCAGAAAGGCAGGACACCTTAAAGCAGGGTCTTCCAGCTTACAGGCAGATTTTAAAATTTTTCTGATTGACAATTGGTTGAGTTCATCTAAACACGTGGGATCAACAGATAGGAATGGCTGGGTTAAGAGAAAGGACTGTAGAGATCAAAGTTCTTATTTGCAGAGGAAGCCTTCAGGTAGTAGCCTTCAGAGAGAAGAGGTTGTCAAATGCTTCTCATCAGACTTACAGTCTGTGCTGATGTTCACACCATCTGATGGGTATAATGGAACATGTCCAACTCCCCGTGTTCCAGTCATGACTTGAACCAGTCTTTCAGATTATATTTTAAGAGTAAATTAGCTGAGCATGAAGTCCATTCAGATGATTGGAGGCTTTAGAATTTTATTTTTGGTTTACATTCCCCAGTCTACCAACTTCTATATTCCATCCTTCCCTGAAAACCTAACTCCCTACCAACATCTCCCTATTCCCTGCAGCTTCCATGGCTGCTCAGCTCACTGTCTTTGAAGTTCCTCTCCCTGCGAACTGGAACTGGAGTCCATTGAGCCCATGCCCTTCCTCAGAGAGTATCATGGCAGTGTCTCCCCATTCTGAGCTCTGGCCCTAGGAAAATATTGTTGCTTCCTTACTGAACTGGTTGCCATCACTAACGTAGTCTGAAGCTTTGGAAACTCCCCTAACGTTTTCTGTGTGCTAGCCAACCTAGTTTCTAGATGCCTTGTCTCCAGAGAATTTTGGTAGTTATTTGCCAAGTCACAGGCTAAAGATTTTAAATGCCCCATCTATTGAACCCCCTCTCTAAGTTTAGCTGCTCTCTGAGAGAATTTAAGAAACAAGAATCAAGCTGATCACATTTTTATGGATTATTTACTGACTTTATTCGTAGTGCTAAACCTCACATCGAATATACCATATTCTGACCCTAAAAATAATGTTACCTCTAAACATTTCAGGCATATATTTTTATGAGTAATGCTTGTAGGGCACAAGGTTATGGAAATGCTCATTTATTCATTCAGTAGTTAGTAAACACCTATTACGTCCAAGAACAGCAGTAGGCATAGGGTGCATAATGATAACAAGCTAATCACATGGTTCTTACTCTCAATGAGCTTAAAATTTAGCAGGAAGGAAACTGACAAAAGTCTACAAATGTGCACATACTCACACCTACACAATCACCAAATGAGCAAAGTGATGTAAGAGAGTGCTATGAGAAACTACATACGGCTTACCTAAAGTGAGGACAAAAGGCGATACAGAATATCTAAACAGCAATATTAGTTTTACCATATATTATGAAGTCTCTAGAAGAATTCTAGAATTAATCTCTAGAAGAATTCTCACAAAGAAACTTATTTAGCTCATTTTGGATTGCTCCGTTAATTCTATTACTTTACCTCATGATAATTTTCAAAATGAGATTCTTTCCCTTTCTCCTTTTAAAAAGTAAGCATTTCCCACAATTTCTGTAGTAAGATAAAACCTTCACATACTTCTCTAAAATTCTAACTACGGATTTTTTTCTATTATTAAAAAGAATGAGATTGCTAAGTTTTTTTTAATTGTTCCATAAATCCCCAAGGGATTTTCCACCAATGCCCATTTCAATCAGCTCTAAGTTGAATGTCATTCTGAACTGGGTCATTTTGAAGAGCTGCATGAGCCAGTAAAACATGTAACCTACATAACCTCCATGTTAAGAAAATGCAGTTCTAAAATCAGCCTCATGCCGTTTGACTATAATTTCACTGGCTCCCATCTAATTTAAGCACCAATTTTATTATGTAATGCCAACATAAGAACTCTTATGTTAGGCACCCTTTCTATTATGCAATACAAGCAGTATCAGTATCCTCTTTATTTATTATATAATGTAAGGTATATAAGTACCCTTTTTATACACAATGTAAGCTCTAGGGAAGACAGAACCTCTAAAACAAATCTTAAATACGGAAATCACCCCAGAGCAAAAGGATGACTTAGTCAAATCATCAAATAACTTCACTAAGCAAGTTTTTTTAAATCTCCGATCTGAACTTCTGTTTTGTTTTCAGTTTGGCCTACCTCACTGTATTTTCCTCTGCCTACTTAATGAAGAAAGGCATATATAGCCAGACTGCCCAGCCTACCGGCCATGTTCAGAGACACAGGCAAAAATGATGGGTCCAAAAGCATGTCAGGACCTTATCATCAATCAGGGACAAAAGGGCTCAGTTATTTGCAAAAAAAATTAAATTTTTAACGATCTTCAATGAGGTTACTGAGCATAAAATAAAAGTTACCTCAAATGAATTGCACATAGTACTTATTTCTTTATTCTGTCTAGTATTATAGGTATCATTTAAATGTCTATCTCTCTTAGTAAATTAAAAAATTGCTTCAGGGCAAGGATCATATTCTTCATTATGGCATTCGTAAAGTATCCTGAAAAAATGCTGGATGACTATTCAATGAATGAAGAAATATAATTGGCCTTTAAAAACAAATTATGTAGGCATTGCAGGAAAAATGAATGAGTAGTTAGGAGATTTTTAATAATATTTAAGTGCACACTTACTGACTTACATTTCAGCTCTCTAGTTGAAAGTAACAGAAAACAACTCAAAATAGCTTGAACAAAAGAGGGAAAATTGTTATTAATATGTAGATTTAGAATTATGCGTTATACAACTTAAAGGCAAAAATGCTGCCAAGACCCAGAAAAGCAAGCAGAAAAATCAAAAGCAGAGAGGTCCCCAGCAGTGAGCCCTCTTTCTCATAACTTTCCTCCTCTCTTCAGATCCGAGTTCCCTCTGTCCTCTGCAAGGAGCAGTCTCTGCTTCTCACAGCAGAAGTCAGCTGCACCACAGCTTCCTTGGTTTCTAATACCTATACGTTAGATCAGCAAGAACTAAAGTGTCATCATTTGGTCCCAATCCAAATTTCCAAGATAGAGAATCTGTGTGACCCAGTTTGGATCAGTCATCCATGCCTTCTCTGATGGACTGCAGTCAGACAGAATCAAGGAACAATCATGACTTTTGGGTACACACTTCTATGGGTAGGAAGAGGGCAGCACTATGAATAAGGCATTACAAAAAAACGAGTCCACTACAACATTATATAATGCTTTACATTTTACCAAGAACTTTCACTTAACTCACTCAATTCGTACAACTTAAAGGCAAATTTAAGTTGTATCTTACAGGGAATGTACGAGAAGAATGACACAACATACAAAAGAATTGATACAAATCCAAAGAATTGATATAACACATAATTCTAAATCTACATATTAACTTATAACTTACATACAAAATAATTGATGCTAAGGACAGTTCAATGTCTTTCCCAAGATTGCTCTGCTATTAAGCCAGAGCCATGTCCATTAATTACTTTCCACCAACCCCTATTACCAAAATGGAATTGTGAAAGGGAAAGGAACATTTCTTTTTTGTTTTTAAGCCCGAGTTAGGAAATTACAAACTCTCTCAGAGAGTTCAACAGCACTACAAAAGTGAAAAACGCTATACTCAAGCAGAAGTGGCAGGGAGAAAGAATAACAAAAATTCCCTGATGTGAATAAGCTTTTACACAACAAATTATTTTACTGCCCATTAAACAATTCACCTGGTCAGTTCAAGCCCAAAGACCTTTCTTCTCCCTCTAAATCAAACTTCGTTGGCACCTACCATCTATAACAGTTTCTTAAAATGTAATTGTCAAAGAAAAAAAAGAAAACAAAAAACAAAACAAAAAAAACGTAATCGCCTAGGGAATGTAGTTGAAACGTGGATTCTGACTCAGTAGGTGTCACAGACAAGACTTTACAGAGGCCCCATAATCCCCACCTTCCACTATCCATGCTTTTGTGTGTTTACCTCCCCTTCAGTGTAGGAGGGAACTGTGACTTGCTTTTAACCAACAGAATATGGCAAAGATGATGGGCTGTCACATGACACTATAGAAGACTCTGAAACTAGCAGACCTCCTCCCACCAACCCCACTGCTGGCTTTCAAGAAGCAAGTTGTCATGAATCTGGAGCAGCAAGGAAAAGAACTCAGCCAACAATTGCCGGAGCTTAGAAGCAGACTCTTCCCCCATAGGAGCCTCTGAGGTGAACCCAGCCCTGGCTAACACCTTGACTGCAGCATGGTAAGAGACCCTGAAGCAAAGGAGCCATCTAAGCATCCCGGACTCCTGACCCAGAGAAACTGTAAGATAATAAGTGTGTGCTATTTTAAATCACTAAGTTTGTGGTAATTTGTAGGCAGCCACAGGAAAATAACAAGAGTCAGTCTGGGTTGGGGCCAGGGATCTGGGATTCACACTTCAAACAGCACTAACATTCATTTGGCCCACCAACATTTGCTGTCTTCTGTTTGGGTTGGCCTTTGATATTATCCCTGTGCCACTCAGACTATGATCCCCTCACAACACAAACCATATACTCCATGGCTCCCCAGAACAATACTCAAATAAACCTGAGTGTTGGCTGTGTATGAATGTACCACTGTTACCTTCCTGATCTCCCATCATACAGATTTTATCCCTTTAAATCTACTTCACTTCAAAATACCAGTCAGGTGGTCAATTCTTTTACTGTTAGTTCTCAAAATTGACTGCTTAATTCTTTTAATCATAAATACCAGCTTGAAGAACTGGAGAATTTCAAACTTGTTCCATCACTGCACTGTAAATATGTCTTTAATCTGTCCCATGCCATGAGTCTCCTTTCCTCCTCTTCCTTGACATTTCTTCAGTCCTATTAACCATACATCAGCTCATCTGCTGCTGGTACTGCTGCAAGTCCATAATCACCCAAAATTCTCATTAGATGATTCATCTAATGTCTCTCAAATTGAAACCACCTTGTTATTTTTTTGAAATCATTTCTCCACTTCTACCTTCTTTAATTCTGCCTACACATCCAGCCTCTTGAAATAACAGTTATTCAGAGGATGTCTCCTCTGTTGTACAACACTCCTTGAATGCACTTACACCAAGAATATCATACTGAACCACTTTATGACTTTCAAACATAGTCAAGATGACCTTTTTCTCACCACTGAAATTATCTGTCATCCTTACAATATATTCCCATAAATCTCCATTTATTTTTTCATTTTTAATTTAAATTCTGAAAGCTTACCATGTATGAAGGCTTTATCTAATCCTATATCCTGCATAAAAGTTTGCTATAAAATACCTGACCAATCAATTACAGTGGTCTCCCAGCCTCAGAGTATATTCACCAATTCATTTTATATATAACAATATCCGCAGTAACCCTAAAAGTAGTTACAAGTAGTGAATACACAGAGTTATGCACAGAAGAATAAAGGAAAACGACAAACCCTGGAGGTGACAACTACACCTGAACCTCAGGAGGTGGGTAGTGTATATTTAGAAACGTTTTAACTAGAGCTTCAGTTATCGTCCCTTAAAGAATGTGGCACCCAACCTTACCCCAAGAGAATCAATGCGCTGACCCATTTTTTTCTCTTCAGCACTTCACAACCTGTGCACGTTTCAGACATTCTTCTTAGTAATTTCTGACACATTATTTTCCATGAACACTGTGACTTTAATTCAACAGTATCTCAGCAGAATAATGTGAAAGTAATTCTGAGACTGATTATTTAGTATTCTCCAAAACCACTGCACAACCTCACTAAGCAAAAAGAGCTAACTGGCCAACGTTATGAACCAAGCTACTTTGCCATTCCTTTCACATTCAGATGAGGCAAGAGAAACTACGGTAATCAATACTAAATTTCTGGGCACTAATGTGCCACAGCAACAAAAAAAAGTGTCGAGTCTGGGATCCTCCAAGATTGCAGCCTATAGTCTAAATATGTAAAGCACTGAACCAAGAAAGGAATCAATACATACAGTTGTCTCTTGTCCTGAAGTTCATAATATGTTCGATGACATTATGAGATGAGTGAAACTGATCAATCTGCTATGTTCTTTCTATTACTAAGTGGACATGAAAGTGGGAAGAAAAGGTAGAAAGGAATTACTTGAACTTCCTTTTTAGCAAAAACAAAAAATGATAATTTAGTTATTAATAGTATGGTTTTCACTTAAAATCAAAAATTCATCTATTGATTGATGTCAGAGGGAAAAAATCATGCAAAAACTGGAAATCTATAAAGAATTCTAATGTTTCACATGCAAAATCTACAAACTAATACTCCTTGGCTTTCTATTTTAAAGAAGTTTAAGAATTATCAATTATAATGACTTGTTCTCAAATGAAATTTTAAATGATGGTAAAAAAAAATATGGTGCCTAAAGGTATTGATGAGGTAGACTGGTTAAGGATCATAGCAAGTATGAAGCCATATTACTATATGATTAGTCCTTGATGTCACTAGCACAGAGGCAGAAAAAATGACGTAAACTATGGCACGGATATTCCCCAATTGTCTTATATCCTTGGCTCCATTCTGGCTACAAATAGAACCTAACCTTAGCTCTATACTATAGTCACTACATGTATTCTAACCTAGCCCAGATTCTTACAGTCACTACATTTACTCTACTCTTTTTTTTTTTTTTTTTTTTTTTTTTTTTTGAGATGGAGTTTCCCTCTTGCTACCCAGGCTGGAGTGCAATGGCGCGATCTCGGCTCACTGCAACCTCCGCCTCCCGGGTTCAGGCAATTCTCCTGCCTCAGCCTCCTGAGTCGCTGGGATTACAGGCACGCGCCACCATGCCCAGCTAATTTTTTATATTTTTAGTAGAGACGGGGTTTCACCATGTTGACCAGGATGGTCTCGATCTCTTGACCTCGTGATCCACCCGCCTCGGCCTCCCACAGTGCTGGGATTACAGGCTTGAGCCACCGCGCCCGGCCTTACTCTACTCTTAATTATAAATGAGATTTTTTTTTACCCCATCAATGTTCTGATTATAAAACCTTTTAACACCTTAAGTGTATAAAAGGTTTTCAGTTGACATGCAGTCAGACCTTCCTTCTTCACATCCTAGCCTCTCTCTGAATCCTTCCCTTGTTAGGAAACTCCCTACCTCTAAAGACAGTGTATTCTAAGATTAGACAGCTCTAATTACTGGTAATTTATTTTTACTGGGCAGGAATCTGACTTTCTTTGACTCTTTAGTGCCTGAGTTCTGTCCTATGATAAAACAGAATTAAAAGAATTACTTAACCATAAAGAAATGTTCAAACATTTAAAGGAAGCTGCCACATATCCACCAAATCTTTCCTTATAGCCCTGCAAATCCCTTCTATTATACTATCCTGTATGCTCTTCTTCAATCCCAGCTTCCAAAGCATAAAAATCACGTAATCACATAGACCTTATCATTCATACGATCTAAATCCAAGTGAATCCTCAATGTTGTTAGATAATGCATTTAGACATCTGTCTTTTATATCTTCACTCATCCAAAGACATTGCAAAAGTTGTTCATTTCCTGTAATACCCACATTGCTACCTTCAACACCACCAGGACCTCCTCCTACCAACAAGAGGGCAGTCACTTCAGCTCCTTCTCTCCTCCAACATCGACTTATCTTCCCTCCCTGCAAGCAAAAAGTCATCCATCCTTCTTTAAAAAGTGTATTGTTGCTCTTTCTCTCCATTCCTTTCAGAGTGTTCTAAAACTGTTTTTCTCAATTATTTCTTCTCAAATATCTGACAGTGGAGGAGACATGAGGAATACTAACATTTATTGATCATGCTTGAGGTAGGGTTGATGGTATTTTACACATTGTTTCATCTTCCCATGTTTTTCATGGCTTTCCCACATACCAAATCTCTCCATGCTGTATAAAGTTCTTTTTAAGATACATTATTTATGCATCTGACTGTATTCTGTGGTTGGCAGTGGTAGTATAGAAACCATTATTCCTTACTCAAAGGATCTTTGAGTGCTAGAAAAACAACCATATATGCAAATAACATATTTTTAATAAGAGAGGAAAGAGAGAAGGTATGAATAAAAACTTGTCACTCTGGGTATCCAAGTCAGATGGATGTTGCTGTGGTACCACTCTGAAATTTCAAACTGTTCGCACAGGTGATGGTCAAGTACTACACCAAAGTTGATGCACAAGGTAAACTTCTTAGATCCATTTTTCCTCTCATGCCCTATTTCTCTCCTTCAATTCATTGACAACATTTTTAATGTGTCCTACAACACAGTCTCTTTTTCTCACAGAGTATATATATACACCACAGTCTGCTTTTCTCCCTACAATTTGACTTTGAATCTTCCTTCTAAAATGAAAACTGCATCCTAGGAGGATATTAATAAGCTAATTGTCAAATATAAAGTTTTGTTGTTTTTTATTTAACTACATTTGCTCCCTCTGTACACCATCTGACATTGTAGACAACCTTTCCTTAGTACCTGTACCAATAAATGATTCTCAAATGTCTACCTTTATCATCAAATTTTATTTCCTGTTTGTCAGGTCTCAACAAAATGTAAGCATGCACCAACGCATTTCTGCAACTTGTATTATGTTTTTATTCTTCCTTGGCAAAATTTTCTACTCTCTTCACATCAACTATTATTTTGAGGTCGTCGACTACGACTATACATACCTATATTTTAGCACATGCACACAAATAGAAAATAATATAACAGCTATGTATCTAGCACCACAACTTTAACAAATGCTAATATTTTGCCTGATTTGCTTAATGCCTTTTTTCTAAGAAATAAAATGACACAAATACAGCTAAAGCTCCACTCATCATCTCTTCCCATTTTTTATACTTTGATCATACATGTATATGTACGATCACATTATATATATGTATATCACACATATATAATAGTTATATGACATATATTATATAGTCTTTACAGCTTACTCTACCCTGGTTATGTTTCTGAGATGTATCCATGTGGATGCATGTACAACTAGTTTGTTTATTTTAACAGCTCTACTGTATGGTGGAAAAATCATCCTACATTTATCCATGCCTCTGCTTCTTTTCTATTTGAAGTAGATAGTGCTACAATGAACATCCTTGTACATGCCTCTTTGTTTTATATGTATGACTATTTTCTAGGCTAACACATAAAGGCAGAATGGCTGAGCTACAGAATATGCACATCTTCAACTTTTCCAGATATTTCTAGATTGTTGCTAAAAAGATTGCAGTAATTTATTCTCATCAGTAATATACAAGAGTTCCTGTTTCTTCTCATCCTTGCCAACACTTGGGTGCTATCAAGCTTATTAGGTATTGTCAATCAATAGGTGTAAAATGAAATCTCACCAGGGTTTTACTTTTCATTTCCCTATTAGCGAAGTTAAGCATCTTTTATAATTGGCCATTCAAGCATCTACCTGTGTGAATTGCCTAGTCATATTCTTTTTCCATTTTCCATTAGGTTGTTTATTCTTTTCTTATTGATCTGTATGACTTCTTTCATATTCTGGATAATTCTCTTTGCTCAAATACATACTACCAGTCTATGGTCTGTCATTTTGTTTTGTTTTAATGTCTTTTGTTATATTTAAGACTTTTAAGTTAATGTATTTTTTTAAGTCAGTCCCTTAGGGCTTGTGATTTTTATATCTGCTTTAAGTATCTTCTCTATTACAATGTCATGAAAGTATGGCCCTTTAAAGTTACTCGGAGTCTGTCTGAGATGGCCTGGCCTTTATACCTGCTTCACTGATCAGTCACTATGGGCTGAACCAGGAAAGTGGATGATCTTGGACAATATAGCTCTCACCAGCTTTGGTAATCTCTAAACGAGCTGGGTACCAAAATCTCTGGTCTGACCTACAGTGCAAATATGATCCCCTATTTAAAACACTTGAAAGACTCTTCTGCACTTCAGACGAAGTCCAAACTCATTAAACATGGCTGTAAGTCCCCAAAAGGAATCTGAGGTTTATAAAAATTAAGTCACTTGCACAATATTCTAGAGCCAATGAAAGTAGCAAGACTGAAAGTCAAGCCTAAATCTGACACAAAGTCACTGCAGTTCTATGACATCACCAATAAAATGCCAATGTGAGTACATGAAAGGGGATTCAAGCTAGGGAAGACTAAAGAAAGACCATCTACAGCAAGAGCAGTCTTACTGTCTACATAGGTCCCAGCAAAACATGACTATTAAATAGAGTTAATTAAGAATGCCTCCCTGGTAAGTCCTTTCGGTTTAGGCACTAAGCAAAATGACAAGGAATTTGGTTTTGAAATGACCAAATTGCCAGTTTCATCATAACCTTCACTGGGGCTCATAAATCAGAAAAAATTCAATGAGCTGTGCAAATGGAAAATCACTGAACTCAACAGAAGAAATCATTCCGAAATAGGTCTTCAGTAGATGGAGCTCTCCCCTTTGAATTGGTACTGAACCAGAACTGAGAAATCTGAACAGTTGGAAATACAGTCATTCAGACAAAGGTTCTGAACATTTCCACTGATTAAAGTGCCAATCACCCTTCTCCTGAAAGCACCAGCATTAACCCTGGTATACTAGCCACATTTCAACCCAAAATAACATTATTATTAAACATGAACTGAGCACCAACAATGCCTTCAGCACCTCTAAGAAAGATACAGAGTCCTTACTGACAGGTTTGCCATTAAGCCACTATTTTGGGAAAGATCGCAGAATAATTGTAAACATCTGAATTTTATTTTCGTGGGGAAAAAAAGAAAATTTCAAATTTCATTTCTCCCATTAAATTGTAATATGAATCAAAACTTATTTATGAAAAACTTCTCTATGATTACTACTTTGTTCTGATACTTGATGTTGTCATATGAATTAGGCTTATGACCAGATCCTGTTCTTTTGCTTTGTTCTGATTTATCTAGAGCGTCTCATTATGTTGCTCAGGCTGGACTCAAACTCCTAGACTCAAGCAATTCTCCTGCCTCAGTCTCCAGCATAATTGGGACCACGGGTAAAGAGGATATTTGATTTTTCATGGTGGTTTGGGATTAATTGTGAAGCTGCAGAGCTAGGCTACCATCAGACAAATTATCCCAAATAAAGATGAAAATATGAAAATATCCAAATATATTCAAATAAAAGTATGTCTAATCCTCCTATATGCCCCACCACAACATACCACTTTTATCAACTAACTAACGCCTGTCAACCGATTACTGACCCAAAAAAAAAAAAAAAAAAAAAAAAGCTGAATTCTGAAGGTTTTGAGCAGACACAAATCAGAAATTCTGCACAATCTAGACACTCTTCAAGGCTTAAATTTAGATTGCCCAATATAGAGCAAGACTAACTTCGACCCAGAAGTCACATAATAGTCCATCAAAAGCAACACATCTTATAACAAACTCAATGGTAGATACTGTAAGTGATTATTATTTAGTGATCCACTTGAAGGTCTGACCTCTTCCTACCAAAGCCACACTTAGAAGTAAACTGCATCATTAGAGAGAAACAAAAATTTGCAATGTAAAATCAAAAAAAAATAGCTTTGTTATAATGATGTACTCCAAGACTTTTAAAAGGCAGAAGAAAGACAACAGGTGAGCACATACATTCAAGTATTTCAGTATAAACAACACTGCATGAGTACCAAATAAACTACCATGTTCCACTTGACACTATGAGACAGCTTCCCCCAAAGCCACCATACTTTTGTGACCTTGAAGATAAATCTCCCATAATCTGATCATAATTTGCACCTGGAGATGCCTTCTCTGGAGTATTTGATGTTGGGATTTTTGTTCAAATGACTTTCTTGAAAATGTCAATACATGTTTAGATGGAATATAAAGTCTAAGAAAACTGTCCTACTTTTGCTGATGCTAAGTCTGAAAGATTAAATCTACAGATACACAATCAGTGATAACACCTAGTTAGAATTCTGCCAGTGTACGGATGTGCTAATGTACTGGCTGAGGTCAGGAAAAGCACAGGAAATGGGAAATGTCTTTTCAATGCACAAATGACTAGGAATATTTCTATTCTTATTAATAGAATGTCTATTCTATAGTAATAAGAATTCTTGAGCTTATTTCTAATGACATTACAAACTATTAAAGACTACACTATAGTAGAGTGATTCAATGAGGATGTATGAGCTACAGAATATACAAAGATGCTTCAACTTCTTTATACTTAGCTAACACAAACTATTTCAGACTTTGTATCCAAAACTGAGTCCACAGATGTAAGACATCAAGTTTAACTATTTTTTAGAAAAGTGAGAATGAGTTTGCACTAATCTACATACATTCTTTTGCTAAATCCTTTCTATACAAAAGATGGATACTTTTAATATGGCTGGCCATAATTTTGGGTATAGTCTATGAATTTAAAAAATGGCCAAAGTTAACTAATTCAAAGATCATTAGACTCCGTAACTTTAGCTTCTTTTTTTTTTTTTTTTTTTTTGAGACGGAGTTTCGCTCTTGTTACCCAGGCTGGAGTGCAATGGCGCGATCTCGGCTCACCGCAACCTCCGCCTCCCGGGTTCAGGCAATTCTCCTGCCCCAGCCTCCTGAGTCGCTGGGATTACAGGCACACGCCACCATGCCCAGCTAATTTTTTGTATTTTTAGTTGAGACGGGGTTTCACCGTGTTGACCAGGATGGTCTCGATCTCTTGACCTCGTGATCCACCCGCCTCGGCCTCCCACAGTGCTGGGATTACAGGCTTGAGCCACCGCGCCCGGCCCAACTTTAGCTTCTTAAGAGACTCTTAAGTTCACAGTCCCACTCAATGTAGTGCCTATCCTAAACTTTAGTGAAATAAGATCAGAGACACAATTTAAATGGTCCATATTTATTGATGCTAATGTAGATTACAAACAACACATTTCACTGCCATCTTTTGGTGACCTTGGATGAACTATTCAAACAGAATATAAAATAAGGTGATACATCAATTTTACCTTCAAATAATTCCAATGACTTTGGGAAATGTGATGTTATTTTTAAAAGCTAGGGTGCAGAATTGTATACATGCATAATCTCAACTATATAAACATATACAGAAAAGAAACAAGCAGCTAACAGTGTTCCTGCATAAGAGAGTTAAGTAGTAAATTTTATTTTCTCCATATTCTATAATTTTCTCAGTGAGTATTGATTAGAAAAATAAAAATAAAAATAAAAATCTTTCTTTCTCCCTGTATCATCCCCAACAACCCCCCAGCCCAACACACAATCCTGAAGGGAAAAATCCAAGGTTTGAATCAAAATAGACCTAACCTAGAAGCAGACAACATGCTGATAACCAAATAATCCCTCAGGTGAGTCAAATTAAATGATTGTGTTGTAAAAAAATAAGATAAAATAAGGCAATAGATAGATGCCCATGTGTGCCCAATGTGAATGCATATAGTAGAGCCACACGTGGAGAAAAAAAAAAAAATCACACACATAGATATACATTCCGCAATATTAAAGTTCATTTGATAACCCTGTGCAAAACTCTAATTTCCCTAATATAATGCTTTTTTCCCTAATATAATGCTTTATTCCCTCCCTCTTCTGATATCCTGTGAGATATAAGTCTTGATAAGAAGACTGAGCTATCTTAAAACACATGTCCAAGACATTATTATGATTCCTGCAGACTAACCATGTGGTGCTCATAGGCATAAAACCATTTCAAAAGTACACTCACTGTGTATTGGCTCAGCAGGATGGGCTGTCCGCAGGAAGTGAAAAATGAAAAGATGATAAGCAGGGAGGTCTGGGTAAAATATAACTTCATTTCTTAGCATGAAAAAGAGACTCCCAGCAAATCTGTATGCTCAGTCTCTAATCTTTATTTGTAAAATCAAGTTAATAATTCTGAATATTCTCTTAAGAACATCATACAGATAGCAAAATTAACTGAAAAACAAAAAAAGGCAAAATTATTTTAAAACATTAGCTAAAAAGGTTTCCCTTGTAAGAAAGATCTAGCAATTTTGAAAAACAAAAAAAATGCAAAATTATTTTCAAATGTTAGCTAAAAAGAGGTTTGCCCTGTAAGAAAGATCTAGTAATTTCTAGTTCTTTCATTCAACTCTCCTTCCTAGTCTTATAAGGCTAACTAACCCAGAGCTATGAAGAGGAAAGTATTTCCCAAACTTATCAAGCTGGCCAATAGTAGCATTCTTCAGAATACCAGATCCCTAGGGTGGTGAAAATATATAGAAAAGAAAGAAGGAATTAATCAAGTGACTCCAGCCTGCCAAATGTCTGAATAAGGTCAGCTGTTAATATTTTCCACAGTAAGAAATGTTTAAGCAGGGGTCAGGACAATGACAGCAGAAATTCATACGTACTGATCTGAGTTAGTGATCTCCAAAGGAAACAGTAAAAATACTCATGGAAACAAAAGGAAATTAACTCCTCTGGCCATTTTTGGAACATTTTAAAGAAAAACATAGAAATTGAGCCTCCAGCATATTCTCTCTCTCATAGCTGGGTGAGAAGATGGGGGATGGCAATGGGAATCACTGTGCTTATAGCATGTTGCACAGACATTTATACATCGATTTCTCCTGTCACTTGTGTTATAAAAACATTCTGTAATAGCAATGAATTAAGAGTAAAGCTAATACCGCTAAAATTCTGGTATTTTTAGTAGACTATCAAACGGTAGTTTTCTAACAGGAAAACAAAGCCTAAATAAAAACTTGATCATTCTGTTGTTGAATTTTAGCTAAACATTTACAAATCTGCTAGGTTACTGTACAGTCCTTTACGAGCAATGCAGAGGTACAGCCTATAAGAACAATGGTGATTTATCTATTGACTAACCTACTGGGAGGTTTATCTGATTTGATCACACTTCTTTTTTTATGCAGTCACTCCAGATAGTTGCAGCAAGAGAAAATTGTTTACATATGATGGCCCTAACACAGTCTATCTATAATAGTTCAGAAAGGTCTTTTGTCTTATAAATAAAGTGGTGGATATTGAAATATGCAAAGGTAAGAGAATAGAATCATTGGTAGCAGTTTGACCATCTTATACTAGTCCCACTGTCCCAGAATACAGGTGTCATTATTCTGTGAAACTACACAGAATTCACATATGGTAGAATGGAAATAATGTGAGAAGCAACGTAACATTCCTGCAAAGTATGTGGACTTTGGTGTGAGACAAATTGAGATTCGAATCCAAGCTCTGCGACTTAATAGGCACGTAGTAAATTACAGATGCAGAGGTATAGGTGAAATGGGATCATTACAGAGGTTAGGACAAAAGAAATCCTAAGTAAGTGGCAGTGCCACCATCATACCACAATCAACCCCATCATTACCATCAACATCTTCACCATCACCACCCCCTCCTCAACTCCATCATCACTACCGATCCCTCCATCATGCCTACCAGCCTACCATGACCTCCATCATCATCACCACCACTACCTCTACCATCACCAGTCCCATCCCACCATCACCACACCCTCCCCACCTCCGTCATCACTTCTACCTCCACCATCACCAGTCCCACCCCAATAACACTATTCCTTCCCCACCTCCATCATCACCAATTCATTACTACCAATACCTCCATCAGCAGCAGCACCTTAACATGACCTCCGTCATCACTACCACCTCCTCCACTACCAGCACCACCACCTCCATCAGCACCACAAACATCTCTACCATTGCTACTGTTGCCACCACCATCACCGCCTAAAACACCATCAACATCTCCACCATCACCACTAACTCCCTCCAGCCCCCCTTCTCTTTCATCATTACCACCACCATTATTTTACAGGTCTTGGAGTCAGGTTTAAGTTCTACTTGACCTCAAATAAATTATTTGACCATTTTGAACCTCGGGTTTATCATCTAAAAGTGAAAAACAATTAATGGTCCTGACTTCTCATAATTACTGAAAGGACCAAAAAAAAAAAAAAAAAAAAGTGACCAGGTGTGCATCTAGAAATCTAAGAGCTCAACATGAACGCCATTCTTAACTAAATTGTTATTTTGCTTATTCCAGCTTGATTTTAAATGTTTTTGCATCCTCCTTCAAGGAAAAATGGTCCATAGTTTGGTAATGCTGGTATTTATTATCAGCATTTTATTTAAATTAATCTTACTACTAGGATTTATCACTACCCTTTTCAGTTTGCTGAGAACCACATCTTACACACACCGTAGCTTATTTAAACACTATATATTTGAACATGGCTGATATCTCCTTCTTTTACCTTTAGGCCAGAGACCTTAACCTCTATAGCCAATCATACACTTGATTACTTGAATTGCTTTTGCTGCTAAGAATGTGTTAAAGAAAAAAAAATCACTCTCAAACATGTTAAAAATGGTAAGGAAGACTTTATTCAAGACCACAATAATGGAGATACTGCAATAGGGGAGAGAAGCTGGGCTCAAAGACATTTGGGATTTATAGCCAACAAGCAGAGTAAGAGGATGGTGGATGGAAAAGTACTAAAAGGAAACACATCAAGAGAGGGGGGGATTCTCATTAAACTAACCTAACAGGATTGTTGCTAACGGCAGGTCAAGGAATTACAAATCAAAGGTGGGGGACGTGGAACTTGATCAGATATAAAGGGTGATCAGGCATCAAGCGGGGGGGTGGGGGTGGATTCATATTAAACTGACACAGCAGGATTCTTGCTAAAACTGGACTTAGCAAGGACAAACACAGAAACCCAAGGTTGAACCCAACTTGAGAAGAGGGCTCAGAGGAACCTAACTGAAGTTTGTCAAGGAAACAGTCTTTGTCAAATCCAAGAGTAAACAAGTCCTGAATGCAGGCCAGAGTAACCTTCCTAATAAAGAGCAGAAGTTTCATGGCACACACTTTAGGACATCAATACCAGTGGCTGTATTGTCCCCTCTCACTCTCTGTCCAATTGGAAGACTATAATATCATCTTACATTCACATATCACATTCATTGCATTTAATAAATGACAGTTACATTCATTTATCAACTGATATTGTCAATATAAATGACTGTTGCCTAAATGAAAACTTTCTGCAGAAACAGATAGAAAAATAAACTGGGGTGAACTATGAGAACTATATTTTATTTATGTGCTGTAATTCCAATATATTTCTTTCTCTAAAGTTCTTTCCAGCTGTAAGAACCTCACCCTTTGTATTTTATCAAGATAGCAAGGAAACTGCAAAAGGCAGAGAGAAAGAATCAAAAGAAATTTCAAAAAAATACATACCTTCCCTGTACTGCTAATTTAAAAAATACAATTCCAGAAAATATTAAGGGTAAAACCATGTTTTTAATGTTTTAAAGTGACAGAGACCCGACAGTAATATAATGGATTTAAGTTAGGTTGTACTTATCCCCAAAGCTCAAAAATTATTAAGCATTTGTGTCATAAACACAAAAAAAAGTGCATTTCAAACCATGTTCTTAAAACTT